GTAGCATCTTTGAAAATTTGTGAGCTCATATTTTTCTTTTTTTTTAAACAAAACATTAAGTAATGCTGTTCTTAGAAAAGTAAAATACATAAGTTTATTCTTTTTTATGTTACAGAGAAAGGAACTCATTGTTGATGTTGTTTTTCAAAGTTTAAGCAGTTACATCTTTCAAACATTTTTGTGTGTTATGTAAGTCAAATTGTGTTCAACATGCTGTTTGTCTGCAAGCTACAGGTATTCAAAATTGAATTTGGAATGAATTAATGATATAATCAACGAAACCAAAAGTAAATCTGAATTCCAAATATTTTATAGTGTACAGTCTTAATGTGAAAATAGCATATCATATGATAAAAGTTTTGCTATTTAATGTGGTAAATATCAATACAATGACGATGTTTCTAAATTTTGTTTTCGTTTTGTTTAACTCAATGTGATACATTTACAAAATCAGTAATATTTTATTTTTTTGTTCATTTGCAAGGCTCACTATTTCATGTAAATGGTCATAATATAATGAAGCCTGGGTTCAATTTCAACCTTAAAATGCATGTTCATGGCTATTCACACTTCACCGCAATGTCTGGATTTCTATTATTGACTTTTAAGACTAAATTTACTGTTTTGATCCTGATCACAATCCATGCTCTGTGGTGCCTAAATAAATGTGGATCCAGACTATTCGTTAAAGCATTCAATTTCTAGTTACGTCTAAATTTAACCCATTACTTCATATACACGCCTTTTAACGCCTTTTTCACCCCCCCCCCCCTTTTGTTGTCTCAAATGGTGAAAAAATGCCTTATTTAGGCCCCCAACACTTGTTTTCGTTTGAGAAATGTTGTAAAAAAAAGTGACCACTTTTTCGGCGCGGCCCCCCGCCAAGAAAATTTTGGACTTGTGAGAGGCTATAAATGACCTCAGATTGATCATAAGGTAACGTGTAACCAACGCTGAAAAGCATTTGACTCTATCTCAATCCATTGAGAAGTTGCAGCACTTTGAAATCAATTATGATGGAAAAAATCAACGCAAAATAGTGATTTTTGGCAATTTTGAGATGTCCCCTCGTTGCCATGGTAACAGAAAATTTAAGCCTGAGCATGTTGTTGCAAGGGCAATGGTCCAGTCAACATTTGTGCCAAGTTTGATTAGTGTTGAAGCAGTTTTTATAGTATTATAGCAATTTGAACTTGTAACGGGAGACTTTTCAATGAAAACAGCCATTTTTCACAAAATGCTCATGAAGTAATGGGTTAATGAAAAAAATAAAAAAATCTACAAAACAACAATTTTTCTTCAAATTTATATGACAGGCCATGTTTAAACATGGAAACACGCGATTTAGGGTAATTTCAAGTATTTTCATCATTTTCTGTTAATATAATTTCAGTATAAAACAGTAAAATAGTCATTATTTCACACTGTTGTAACTCCTAAATGTAATGATAATTTAGGGTCACATTGCTGTAACTTATTACAGCATTCTGGTTCTTGTATTTTTTTCAATAAAATATATTTTTCAGTGATTTTTCATTTTTTTTATTTTGATTTTTAAAAAAACTGTCTACAGGAACTTCTTCGTAATTAAAAGTGTAAAAGTTAAAATAATTCTGCACACTATGATATATTTTATATTAAAATTGGTTGAGTAAGTGTGAAGATATAGCCTGTTAAATCTTTGAAGTCGATTTTCTCAAAATGGTAAAAATACGACTTACATCATTATGGAATTAGGGCGACGAACTATCCTCGACAGAAAGTGCTGTAACTGGAATGCATCTCAGTTTACGCAATGTGTATTTATGAGTATACGATTTAACTCCGACACATTTTCAATTGAGAGATCTCCAAACTATGATACATTTTTCTGTTAAATGTGTCCTAGTTAACCCGAAATTCCAGACGATACAGGGTAACGCCTACTGCAGTGACGTTTCATCAGTGAAAAATAGTGCTGTGTATTTCTGAAAAAAAAAGATTAATTGCGAATAGAAGAGGAGATACGAAATTTATTTTTTGAAAATCATGTGCATATGCTTGAATTACGTTATTTGAAATGTAGCGGATATAATTTGAAAATTCGCGTAAAACTAAGGATGGAGATAAGTGAATTTGATTGACTGCTTGCAATGTTCAACTTACTCGGCCGTACCTAATCATCACATATTTTTGTATGATATTCCAAAATTTTTGTTCACAAATATACATGTAATATCATAATAAAATGATATTAACATTTCCTATTTAAGTGATAGTATTGGTGTATAATAAAGAAGTATTATATCATAAATTTTCAAATTTTATGTCATTACATGCTGTACACACTCATATTACGTTGTACATATAGACACACACTTAGAGTAGCATCTCTTATAAAACATCAAAATTACAATAATGGTTGTCTGCAGTATATCATTTTAACTTTCAATGATATCTCACTCAAACTATACACATATGTAAAGACTAGTGAGCAGAAGTGCTGTGTCAAATAACAAAAATTCTACATTACTTAGTTTTTTAATTATCTCCCTTTATATTCATGATACTCATTAAACATGTATGTCATAGAATAATAGATTCAACTACTATTTATTTCCTGAATTGTGCACTTCATATTTACCCTTCACTCATTGAATTATCTGCCCCGAAATAGTAAAAAAAGTAATTTTGATCCTTCAAGTACGTCCCAACTACAGTGCCTTCAGATTTATAATTTAGCGGTACTCCAAACAGATTTAAATCCAGTTTATTTATTCAATGTCCAATTTCGAATGATACATAATAATTTTACAGTTTTATTGATTACATGCATATCATTTTCAAAATACAATATTCAAAAATCCGATTCTTTGATCTTAAATAAATGGGATATTAGCTATCACTTTGCATAAAAGATTTGCATTTCAGCAATTAAAATAATTTACAAAACATAAAACAAGTTGTTTTAATCTAAAAAAATTATTTATGAAATATGATAAAACTACATAACCGGAGGTTTTTTTTTTATTAAATTCTATATAATGTATGAAAATTATGATTTCCTGCAAAAGTAACTATTTTTGTTTGAAAGAGAAAGTAGAAATGTGATTGATAAAAATTTGTTTAGAAAATAAATTTAAATTAAGTGAAAAAAACAATCTTTGATTAAAATTGTAAAGTTAAAAACTCTTTAAATATAAAAAAATATTTACTAATGATTTTTTGCAATGGTATGACTCCAGATGGAATTTGAGGACAACCTTGAATGTAGATGCACGATTATGTCGGGATATGTTGAAAGAGTTCATGCACAGAGAAAATTAGTGATAAAATAAACAAATGAAGATCAAATATATGGCAAAGCATCGTTATAACTACGGTACAGCCCAACACGGCTTTATGAACAGCTCCTCCATATAGTCTGCGTAATATTGTAATGATCTAGAAAATTTTACCTATTTACTTAATTTTGTTCATTTTCACTTTCTGTCATTCATTGATTCCGAAGCTTACTAGTATACTGGCCTGATAGCACATTGACTCGTGTCTTAGTACATTTTTATAAGACATCAGATCAATGTCACGTATCATGCCAGATTTTATTCTAGTCCGTGAGTTAAGTTGAAATCCCTATAAGTTTTCCATGCCAGAAAAATGTTTTGTCATGTGTTTTCACGACTTGTTTATCTTTACATGTAATTTGAATTATCTCTCTTATTGGTCACTATTTACGTTGCATATCAAATTAATCCATGTTTATGAATGTTTCTGCAAGATAACCTTTCTAGAAATTTGTTAAATTCTTCACATTTTAATATTTCATATTTGACCTCATTCTGTATTGTGCAGATACGCCATCTTGGTTTTGACTGTGAGCAGTTGTCTGAGGCGGGTAATTTGAAATCTTATTTATTATTGTTTAAACTTTCGTATTCACAAAGAATGATGATTAACTCAAGAAAGAGAACCTTTGAGGTAAATGAGTGATTTATATATGAATTATATATTTTTTTTCAAATATTTTAAAGTAAGATATCGATGTGTTTTTTTGCACTTATTACACAGTTGAGATGTGAGCCGCACATATCACACTGGTGGGCTTTGAGCCCCACATCACACATTGTGAGCTGTGAGCTCTGCTAGAATTTAGTATTCTGTTAGTTACCCTGCTCAGAAATAATCTTGGCTAGATTTTTAAAGATAAATGATTTTTATAAGTGATAACTTTACAACAGTCATTCTAAATTGTTCAGAAAAGTTAAATTTACTCATTATATAAGAGTTTTTAATTCTTGTTTATAATATAACAAAAAGTTAGTACTTCATATAGATCTTTTTTATACTTTGTTCAACTAGTATCTCAATTCGGCGAATCTATCAGTCTTAAAGACTTTCCTGACTTTTCATGTATCATCTCATGAATTTTTAACGAAATAATATCAATTGTAAGAATAATTTATGCAAACATTTATACATGTTTTGATCTCATTTATTTATTCGATCAATGCTATTCAAGTCTAGTTATTCTTTGTTGAAATATAATAAATTTCTATTCTGTATACTTGATAAATTAATTCAAGTAAAACGTCAAAATTTAAACAGACTTATTTTCTTATTGAAATTCAAACATCTGTCTAGCCAAGTTCTGACAAATAGTCCATGGTCCCGTAGAGAGCTACCACAACTATCTTGATGAATTGGTTTAACAAAGAGTTCAGCATACTTCTGAAATCCGAAGCCCAGAACTACCATATGCAGACAGACTAACAAACAAAGAAGACCAGGCGCATAGAGATTCTTAAATACTAGAGCGTAACAATATTTGCCGCATTTATTTTAAAATGTCCCTTTTTTTACCTAAATGCCCTTGATTATTGAGGAAAACTTATTTTAGTCATGAGTGAACTATTCGATAGTATCCGCTTTGACATACCACTATGGTGTGGTACAAATTATTGTACATCATAATTGTTTGTACTTTGCAAATGTTTTTGAGATCCTCCGTAATATCCTCCGATATCCAAAGCCAATAACCAATTTCTTTTGTGTTTTATTTTTCAGATGCACAAGAGCTGTATAAAAAGAAAGATAATGTCATAACTTGATATTGAAGACAGCGAAATCAAACCTTCCATTTTTACAACTATGAAGAGATCTATGCCATAAGTCAAGTGTAATGGTACAGAACAGTCGTAACATCGCCATTGTCCTCAGATCCTTAACTGTTCCTGGAGGACTGATACAACTATCAAAGAATACAAGATTGTGAGATAAAAATCATCACAAGGAGTCATTTAAACAGTGATACTTCTTAATCGCTGAAATGGACGCAGCGGACCCTTTAATGGGATCAGAAACACAAGTTGTTTATCAAAATATGCTGAACAGATTTAAAAACGGTTCTTTTCATAAAAATTTCACCTTTCCAAATTCTAATTTGACTCAACAACAGTTCACAAATCCGGATTCAGTGACGTTGCTTTTGAATTGTATCTATTTTCTTGATAAATTTGGTGTACCTATTCTTTTAACAATCGGTGTGCTATCGAATGTGATAATTTCTATCACAATCAGAAACTCGGAATTAAAGAAGGTATCTGCATGCTGTTTCTTCTTCTCCATTGGAATTGTTGATACGCTTTATCTTATTGCCATGGCGATTCCTTGGATATCTATTCGCGTTGTTGATATTTACAATACAGAGGGCTTCTGTCAGCTCATCTATTATTTGAATCTGTTGACAACATTTTTATCAAGCTGGTATATCGTCATGCTGCTCGCAGAAAGGCTATCAGTTTGTTATAGGCAAGATGCATCACGCAAGTACATGGACGCGTTTCGAGTTAAATGCTATATTACATTGTTTTCAATTTTTTCAATTGTTGGCCATCTTTATCTCACTTGGACTAGTGGGGTTTACATATTTCAAAACAGACAAATATGTAATGTTATCCCTGAACACCTGGAGGATATCATGATTATGAGAAAAATCGATATTGTATTGGCTTTTGTATTGCCAGTACTTCTGTGTATAACTTTTACAATCACTTTGCTGGTACATCTTTGTACCTCTAACTTCAAAAATTGTAACAATGGAATACTTAAAGCTGAAGTTAAAATGATAACATTTGAAGTAAAACTTAATTCCAAGCAAACGACACGTTATGCTGAATGCCCCTCTAGCTCAAGAGCTACCAAAGAGCTATCGGACCAAAGACTCAAATTAAGGATTTTGTCACAAAGCAGGAGACTGACTGTAACTTCAGTGTTCATAGCTCTGACATATGTATTTCTTTTTATACCACACAATGTTATAAAAACAAAATTCACATTTCTCAGTGGAGATCATATTGTCACTTTTGAAGAATCCCTTTTTCTGAAATTATTCGAGGATTTGTACAAGTTAAACTTTGCATACAAAGCTTTCGTTTATTATGCATTGCTACCAGAGATGAGAAAACATTTCATCAAAATATTCCTACGGATATGTAAGAAGCGCAAAGCAAACAAAATGACAAGAAATGGTGATGCAGTAAATGGAGATTTTATACAAGACACAAACTTCATAGGAAACTGATTTTGGCCACTGATCTGAAAACATGAAATAGTTTTTGATTCATTTTATTATCGCCGTTCCTGGGTGGCGATATATACAATTGACAAGATATGAACAGTTCTACCTGTTTACCGCCTGCCTATAGCCAATCAACACAGCAACTTAGAGAATGTAGTCTAAAAAGAGTATACATGTATTTTGTTTTCTTTTTAAAGAAATAACTTTAAAAATGCTTTCTTCCAGGCGAGTTTAATACTATGAGTATTGTTATTGCATTATTATCGCATATAGCAGGTCAGTTATAGTCCGTTTCAGAAAAAAAAACTTCGCAAAACAGTCGACGGAGTATATAACGTAAATTCCATTATAGCATGTTCACATACATCAATTTTAATCTGTTGTTAATTACGCAAGAAGCTAATTCTTTTTGCCGATTGATGCACGCACTAACTTAGTAGTCTAACTTATTGTACTACGAGTCAAGTTATTGTGATATTTTGCTAGTATCTCCTACATTCTGACCCAGCAGAATCTAACTGAGCAAGTCAAAATATTTTGTCAAGAACGGATTGGTAGAGTAAATCAAGTATTTTTGTTGGCTTTATGTGTTGACCCCATACATGTTCAATAAAGTATTAGGCAAGAAAGGGAATATTATTTCTATATTCATGGCTGAATGGCGATTCCGAGCATTTTTGGAAATGCTAATATTTGTCACATAAACTACGGCGCAGGAGTTTTCATTAAATAAAAACAATGTGAATGTGTCATTTTTCCGTGTAAATTCCGATATTTATATCATTATGATTATGTATGTTAGAAAACGACCTGAAAGCAATAGCAGCAATAAAACATTCCCAAAATAACGACTGTTTAAAGTAAAAAGAATCATATTTCATTGACGCGACTATAGTGTAACGCTAACATTTAGCTAATGTTTGTATAAGGCAAATTGTTCAGACTAAAAGTATGAATTAAGTACTACTTATATAATTTTAAATAAAATCAGCAGAAGTTAAATAAGTTGAACACAGTACACTTTATAAATATCTATCAATTTATGTAAAAAAAGCATAATGCATAAATTTTAAAATTACTAATTTTTGTCAAGCTTTATGAAAGTCTAGTAAAGTGGGAGCTCCCTCAAGCTCAAGCTCCCTCAGCGGATCCTGTTTTCAAAATAACCATTTTTAATTAAATAATAAAAATAATTTACAAATTTTACGTATCGATATGGGCCCTACTTACACATATTTATTGGCAAATTAGAATCTTAAACAGAGCTGCATTACTGGTACTGGTACTGGTACTGCAGTACGTACTGCAGCGATTTTGCAAGTACTGGTACTGATACTGAATTACTCTTACAAAATTTTGCTACTACTGGTACTGGTACTGCATTACTGTCTTAAAAAGTGGTACTGCTACTGCATTACCCAGTACTTTTGGTTTTGATGAAAATTAAAAATAGCATCATTTTTTCTCATAAAATAAAGCTGTATATTACATTAACTATATTATCAAATCTAAAGATAATTTGCTGCAATATGCCTTCAAATGGTAACATAGTATTCATCATATAAAGCACCAAAGACTTTAAGTAAAAATTAAATTAAGATAAACAGACTCAATAACTCTTTACCCTAAAATATCCTTATTAAAATCTTTTATTACTTTGTATTTACTAGTAAAGTAGCAAAATAAACACTAATTAATTTCTTCTATTCTAAATAATCCCATTTCAAGTGAAAAAAATGATATTGTTAGCACCATAAAAAGTTGTTATTTACTTTGGTATAAATTGAACAGAGGTGTGAAAGGCAACAAAAGACTGTTGTGTTTTAAATGAAAGATGTTTGCATTGTATTTACACAGTTGACTGGTTACTAAACGGTATCCGGACAATTCCCCTCCCGGACGATTCCCCTCCCAGTAAATTATATATGACATGAATATATGTTGTAAATATTATTTGTAAAAAGTATGTTAAAACTATAAAGTTGTAAATATGTTATGTATCTTTAAAGTAAATTATGATTTTATTTCTTTGCTGAATAATATTTGCAATCATTTGTTTGACACTGTATTTATTCAAACTTTGATGAATATATAAAAGTAATGGTACTGATACTTAATTACTTCACCAAAAAAAGTACTGGTACTGCAGTACCAAGCTAAAATATAGTACTGGTACTGGTAATGGTACTGCATAATTTGCCAAGTACTGGTACTGGTACTTAAGTACTACACCCTTAGTACTGATGCAGCTCTGATCTTAAACAGGCTCCGTTTTTTAGATGATATATTTATGATAAAGGATCATTCTATCAGTGCTTTACATGATCTCATACCACATTAAATACTTTACCACATATCGAAAGTAAATATGTCATTGATGTGAAAATTGGACATTACCAACTGAAATTCATATTAAAATCCATATTGTTTATCAAAACCTGGAGTACTCTTTAAATGTAAAGAAGTTATACTTACAGACAATGTATGGAGAGTAGGCAGTAGCAGCAGTAGGAAACGTGAAGTTAGCAGTAGCAGTAGCTCAGCAGTAGCAGTAGCAAAAATATAAAACGTGAAGTTGGCAGTAGCAGTAGCTCAGCAGTAGCAGTAGCAAAATTATAAAACGTGAAGTTGGCAGTAGCAGTAGCTCAGCAGTAGCAGTAGCAAATTTATAAAACGTGAAATTGGCAGTAGCAGTAGCACAGCAGTAGCAGTAACAAATTTATAAAACGTGAAGTTGGCAGTAGCAGTAGCACAGCAGTAGCAGTAGCAATAATAATAAAACGTGAAGTTGGCAGTAGCAGTAGCTCAGCAGTAGCAGTAGCAAAAATATAAAACGTGAAGTTGGCAGTAGCAGTAGCTCAGCAGTAGCAGTAGCAAAATTATAAAAAACGTGAAGTTGAAGTTGGCAGTAGCAGTAGCACAGCAGTAGCAGTAACAAATTTATAAAACGTGAAGTTGGCAGTAGCAGTAGCTCAGCAGTAGCAGTAGCAAAATCATAAAACGTGAAGTTGGCAGTAGCAGTAGCTCAGCAGTAGCAGAATTATAAAACGTCAAGTTGGCAGTAGCAGTAGCTCAGCAGTAGCAGTAGCAAAAATATAAAACGTGAAGTTGGCAGTAGCAGTAGCTCAGCAGTAGCAGTAGCAAAATTATAAAACGTGAAATTGGCAGTAGTAGTAGCAAAGCAGTAGCAGTAGCAAATTTGTAAAACGTGAAATTGGCAGTAGCAGTAGCACAGCAGTAGCAGTAGCAATAATAATAAAACGTGAAGTTGGCAGTAGCAGTAGCTCAGCAGTAGCAGTAGCAAAAATATAAAACGTGAAGTTGGCAGTAGCAGTAGCTCAGCAGTAGCAGTAGCAAAATTATAAAAAACGTGAAGTTGAAGTTGGCAGTAGCAGTAGCACAGCAGTAGCAGTAACAAAAATATAAAACGTGAAGTTGGCAGTAGCAGTAGCTCAGCAGTAGCAGTAGCAAAATCATAAAACGTGAAGTTGGCAGTAGCAGTAGCTCAGCAGTAGCAGTAGCAGAATTATAAAACGTCAAGTTGGCAGTAGCAGTAGCTCAGCAGTAGCAGTAGCAAAAATATAAAACGTGAAGTTGGCAGTAGCAGTAGCACAGCAATAGCAGTAGCAAAATTATAAAACGTGAAATTGGCAGTAGTAGTAGCAAAGCAGTAGCAGTAGCAAATTTATAAAACGTGAAATCGGCAGTAGCAGTAGCACAGCAGTAGCAGTAACAAATTTATGAAACGTGAAGTTGGCAGTAGCAGTAGCTCAGCAGTAGCAGTAGCATTAATAATAAAACGTGAAGTTGGCAGTAGCAGTAGCTCAGCAGTTGCAGTAGCAAAAATATAAAACGTGAAATTGGCAGTAGCAGTAGCTCAGCAGTAGCAGTAGCAAAATTATAAAACGTGAAGTTGGCAGTAGCAGTAGCTAAGCAGTAGCAGTAGCAAAAATATAAAACGTGAAGTTGGCAGTAGCAGTAGCTCAGCAGTAGCAGTAGCAAAATTATAAAACGTGAAATATGCAGTAGCAGTAGCACAGCAGTAGCAGTAGCAAATTTATAAAACGTGAAATTGGCAGTAGCAGTAGCACAGCAGTAGCAGTAACAAATTTATAAAACGTGAAATTGGAAGTAGCAGTAGCACAGCAGTAGCAGTAGCAAATTTATAAAACGTGAAGTTGGCAGTAGCTCAGCAGTAGCAGTAGCAAAATTATAAAACGTGAAGTTGGCAGTAGCAGTAGCTCAGCAGTAGCAGTAGCAAAATTATAAAATATGAAGTTGGCAGTAGCAGTAGCTCAGCAGTAGCAGTAGCAAAATTATAAAACGTGAAATTGGCAGTAGCAGTAGCTCAGCAGTAGCAGTAGCAAAATTATTAAACGTGAAGTTGGCAGTAGCAGTAGCTCAGCAGTAGCAAAATTAAAAAAATATGAAGTTGGCAGTAGCAGTAGCTAAGCAGTAGCAGTAGCAAAATTATCAAATATGAAGTTGGCAGTAGCAGTAGCTCAGCAGTAGCAGTAGCAAAAATATAAAATGTGAAGTTGGCAGTAGCAGTAGCTCAGCAGTAACAGTAGCATAATTATTAAACGTAAAGTTGGCAGTAGCAGTAGCTCAGCAGTAGAAGTAGCAAAATTATAAAATATGAAGTTGGCAGTAGCAGTAGCTCAGCAGTAGCATTAGCAAAATGATTAAACACGACGTTGGCAGTAGCACTAGATCAGCAGTAGCAGTAGTAAAATTATAAAACGTGAAATTGGCAGTAGCAGTAGCTTAGCAGTAGCAGTAGCAAAATTATAAAATGAGCATTGAGCATTGACATGGATAATTTATTTTCAACAATTCATGTATTACAACTTCCACAATATGACTATTTTCAGTGTTAATTTTTAGTTAATACAAATTTATTTATTTTATTTTGTTATTCAACATCAATTGGTAAAAAATAACACTATTAACTGGGTTGAGTAAAGCAGTCAATCTAAATTATGGGGACATGTTACAGAAAGAAGGAAGACAATGTTATATATATTGTTTTATCATATATGTAATTGTATTTTAGAGAAATTTTAAATTTACAACCGAAGATCGGTTGCCTTCGTAATGCCTGCCGAACACTTCTGAATACTCCAGGTAATCGATTTCATGACCGAACATAACATAATTTATCAATAAATGATTTATATATGATGTACGTCTTTTTTCAAATTTACAAACTGGACAAGATTTCTTTTTTTTTTATTAAACGAGCAAACTTTAACTTTCAATCTGGACATAGGTGCGTAATTCGACATATAATTTTCGACATTTTCACTTTTCATAATATTTTCTGTAGTTGGTAGTATTAATCGGGTTTCATTTTTTTCCAGCAAATCAGAAAGTACTGACCTTTGGTAAATGCACATGCAAACGAAAACATGATGAAAATTAATTTCCTCTAAAAAAAACAAAAACAATTTTATGTTGATTTTTTAAACTGATTCGAAGATATGTGTCAAGATATCAGATGTGGTGTACATTTTGTATTTCCAAATAACTAGTTTCTTACATTAGAGTAGATTGAATAGGATGGAGCTATGAAAAATGATATTCTGATGCTAAGATATTAA